TTTACACATATATATATATATATATATATATATATATATATATATATATATATAGTATATCAGTCTGGCGTAGAGGGTGTCCGTAGAGGGTTGTGCTCATATAAATGCAAAGGACATCATTAGCTACCTGTCTATAGTGTGAATGCCCATGATGAAGGGCTGTACGTCTGGGTTTGGGGGGCAGCAGAATTTGCAGCGTGTCTGCGCACTGAGGGACGTCCCGTCACTGAGTGTGAAATGGTACAGAGGACTGATGGCCATGCCGTGGGTCATCACTGTCAACACACAAACACAGAGCATAAAAACTAGTTTGTTTTAGAGTTACCACATTTACAAATATCAACTTAGCAACAATGAGTCTCATTTGCTAACTATAATTGCATGCAAACATTTTCACTCAAAAACCATGATTTATCAGTAAGCCTGCACTACATACAGTATTCTCTAAATTTAGGATAAATCCACATGTATGCTGCACATTAACACTACCATTCAAAAGTTTGCTGTCAAAAATGAATACTTTCATGCAGCAAGATACAATAAATTGATCAAAATGAACATGAAAACATTTGTTACAAAATGGCTTTTTTTTTTTTTTTAAGAATCCTGAAAAAAAAATCTATCACGTTTCTACAAAAACACATAGCAGTACAGCTGTTTTCAACATTGACAAGAATAAATGTTTTTTGAGCAGCAAATCAGAAAATCAGCATGACTTCCGAAGGATCATGAGACACTAAAGACTGGAATAATGGCTGGTGAAAATTCAGCTTTGCCATCACAGGAATACATGAAATTATTAAAATATATTAAAATAGAAAACAGTTATTTTAAATTATATTAAACAATATTATAAATATGATTAAATAGTATTTCACAATGTTACTGTATTTTGAACTGTAATGTACAGTATATCCTATATTCATAAATATCCATTTCTTTTTATAACCTCTTGCACTTTGACTGGAGGAAAATAACATGTTCTTTCAATTAAACAGATAATAAAACTGATTTTTCTGGTAAATATAAACTGGCTACTGGATTAATTGAAGAAACAATACACAGATTGATCAGTTATCAAATATCAGATCAGATATTGGGCATATTAGAACACATTGAACAAGTGAATGAGACCAATGGTATGAATCAAAATGTGAGTGTAAATCATCAAATAAATCATAAATTCTCTAGGTAAAGAAAGGCAAGGGCAGATCATTACTGCTTTGAAATGTCAAGTACTACTCAAAAATGGCTAGAATGGAGGTGAAAGCGCTCACCCTCATGAAGCAGCTTCTTGGCATGGGAGGGCTCATTGCCCTGAGGCTGGAAGAATGCGTAGATGCACTTCCTGACCAGGTCCTCCAAACCTGGTCGGCCTGTGGCCCTCAGAGCACTCGTCTCAATAGAGATGATTTTCCCTTCGTGCGCGCGCACACACACACACACACACACACACCAAACATCGGGAAAGATCATTAGATTCTGTAAACAGGACTTCAGGTTCAAGAGGAGGAAGCTTTTCAAATCACAGATTTAACAACAAACCATTTAGCACTGCCTTCTGCAAAAACAGAAAAAGAACATAGTTTCGTTTTCTGTTCTTGCAGTCAGTTTGGAGTCAGTAAAAAGAAAAGCAGTTTTTGAAACAAGTTTCTTATGCACACTAAGGCTGTAATTAAGTGATCAAAAATACATAAAAAAATACATTATTACAATTTAAAATAACTGTTTTCTATTTAATCTATTTATCTGTGATGTCAAACTGAATTTTCAGCAGCTATTTGAAAAATAAATCTTTTGTAATATTATAAATGTTTTTACTGTCACTTTTGATTAATTTAATTTGCCCTGGCTGAATAAAAGTGTGAAATGCTTAAAAACAAATCCAAACTTTTGAACAGTAGTGTACAAAACTTTCTTTGAGGGAGAAAGCCATGTCTGTATTTAAACAGGAATTATGGGAAACAATGTGTCAGTTCAATGTACCTGTTGCTTGACATTCAAAAAAAAAAAAAAATAGAGTGCAATGAAATGTAACAAGATGAAGGTGTCTGGAGATGCGTTTTAAAAAGTGCTTATAAATCAAAATCATTATCATCTCAAGAACAAGATGCTGAAAAAACGTACTGCAAAAGAGCGAGACAATCTAAAGTCTAACACGTTTACATTTACAGCAATTAAGAACATGTTCTGTGTGAACACCAGTGTCCATTTTTGTTATCAGTAACCTTACTAGTTTATCTTGATAACTACAGATACTATTTCTTTTCATTCATCATTTTATTTCAGCAACAGCTATTTCAGCCACAGTTTTTCTGCTTTGCGATATTTGTTCTATTTTTAAAGGTATTTTTAATTCAATATTTTCGTCTTTGTTTTAGCCTACGACAATAACCCTGCATGAGCTCTTCCATGATGATAACGTGGTCAGATCAGCAGGTCCTAGCAGCTGGTACTTGTGTGTGTATATAATGAAACACTACCTGTAGGGTCCTGCTTGGTGATGAAGGACTCTGTACTGACAGGGATCTGAGGTGGATGAGGCATTCGACTTGCTATACAGATTAAACAGCTCTGCAGGTCTGTGAACAACAGAGACAATGGTTTGAAGTGCTATGTGCAACACATACCGAAAATTTTTTCATAAATCTGTACAGAACATGATTAAACATAATTCAATTAGAAAAATGCAAAATAGAAGAATTTTTATTAGTGGACTCAGACTTTTGAAACCCCCCCAAAAAACTGATTTCATATTTGAACACTGGCGTGTCAATGACAGCTACATCAGACTCCCTGCACTAAGCTAAATATTTATATGGGTATGACTTTATGAGTATGTGTGTGGTCTCACCCTCACCCTCCTCCTGCACCGCTCTGGGCTGAGAGACCGTGAAGCACTGCATGAGCTCATACTGTTGACGGGCCTCCTGGTTCTCTGCGTCCACCTCGTCTGGAGGTCTTTTCAGCAACCTGCAGTTAAACATGCGGCTGTTCCTTCGGCCTTGCTCCTGAGGCCATGGCACACCGTTTACTGAAAACACACACAGATGTGCAAGGTAAGTATGAGATAAAAGACCACCAGTGGAGTGTCACTGAGCTCTGATATAATAATGTAATTTTTATATATAATTTTTTTCTATATTTTATATTATTATTTGCAATAAAATACTAAAAATAATATAAATATATATGATATAATATTAAATAGTATAATATATATATATATATATAAATAAAATAGTGCATGTATATAATATAAATGTATTTTGTATTATGATTAGCAATATTTTATTTATCTTATGATTGCCTTTAAATGTTAAAATACTTAAAATATTTCAGTGTTGCTTTATCTACTCTCCTCTAACACTTTGTAAAGAAGTGTAATGTAATAAAGCGACAAGCAACATGTTTTTGTTCTAACCAGTGGTGACCATGGCAATTGATAGCCCCGCCCACAAAGAAATCTCATTGGTTCAAATTCCTACTTGCCAAAACTGTACATTAATCATCAAATATCTTCTGAGTGGTTGTAATTTTGTCATGTCGCATCATGTCTGGTTAGGTGTCAAATTTTCTGTTAAATCTTTAGCTATAATTCTGCTTTTACTGTGGCCCTTCTCACCGAGAGACTCACCAAGGCTCTTGGGTAGCAGGTTGCGCACAAACTCGTTGTGATCACCCACATGAAGGATGCTGTAGACGCTGGAGGTCATCAGCTCTTCCTGGGTATAACCCAGATAACTGGTGACGTTCTCAGACACAAACACAATGCGCCCCTCGCGGTTCACGGCGAAAAAGAAGCCATTCAGGGCCTTGTGGAACAGGCAGAGAACAGAGATGGAAGACAAAAATAAGATATATGTTGCACAAAGGTTTGTCATTCCCAACTATAGGAACTGGGCCAGGCTCAGATGAGGACAAAATAAAAATACTGGTCTACGGCAACACTCTTGACATCATACAACCTCAATATCAGTCTTTTCAACAGATAAACAGTTTAAAAAGTCTAACATACCTCCAAGAGAAGTGGCCCAAGGGCTTCCTTCTCCACCATGCCCTGACTGCTTGACGATATGTCGCTCTTTTGCACCTCATCACCTGGAGACATCAGAGCTGCTTTCTCTGTGGACATACAAAGAACATCATTTTTAAATCCCAGATAAGTGATACCAACGTTGTCTAAATTTGAGTGCATAAATATACACTATGGAGTCAGTAAACAAAACATTTTTTTTTATCTTATTTAATTAATCATTTAATTATAATAAAGTATGCAATGTAATGTGACAGTCAAGATTTTTATAATGTCATAAAATATTTATATTTTAAATAAATGCTGTTCTTTTAAACTTAATGTTCATCAAAGAATCTTGAAAAAAATATATCATGGTTTCCACAAAAATTTATAAGAAATGTTTCTTGAGCACTAAATCAGCATATTAGAATGATTTCTAAAGGATCATGTGACACTGAAGACTGGAGTAATGGCTGCTGAAAACCAGCTTTGCCATCACAGGAAAAGTTACATTTTGAAATATACTCAAAAAGAAAACAGTTATTTTAAATTGTAATAATATTTCACAATAGTACTGTTTTTACTGTATTTTTGATCAAATAAATGCAGCCTTGGTGAGCATAAGACATTTCTTTCAAAAACATAAAAATAAATCTTACCAACCCCAGGTTATTTGAACGCTAGCATAACACAGTGAAACACACATTCACTTTTTTTTTTTTTTGCCTCACGTTTTGGTTTCTGGTTTCGAGAACAGTTTGCGCTGTTAATGTAATCCACACCTTCCAAACAAATCTTACACATCCCTATCTATCAGAGCTTTCTCTAATGTGTAAGCGGCTTTTATTCACACACAAAAAACATGCATAATTTCACTATTGTCCTCCTTCCTCTCTTGGACTGGGTGGATGAAAGCTACACAGCGGAAGCCTCTCTAAGACTAATGTGAACAAAGTGGTACTTTTGGACAGGAGCCAGCCGCAGTAAGTGCAGCAAGCACTCTTGAGAAAAGCTTGAGACCGATGAGTCACAATTCGGTCACTCCTGTCCCAGTTCGACTCAAAGAGCTGATATAAAGTGTCAATGATTATTCTGCTTAACCTTCTTTCTCCACTCGAGATCAAAGCTTCTGAAGGACCGCATGAGAACACGGCTCAGTCCAGCAGCTGGAGAGAAGAGAGGACGAGACTGTTTGTTTTGGGCTGAATTTTAAGTGAAGACTTCTTGAAGGAAAGACTAAATTTAGATCAGAGTTCGAGCGCCGTATTTACACACATAATAGCAACGTAGCTCTCACCGAGGAACTTCTGCAGAGCGCTCAACTAGGCGACGACATCAATCTGGTTTGTTACGTTCTGATCTCTGGAACGCAAAAGTTTAAAATGAGGTCAGTTTGGTGGGAGGAAATAGGAGTTTTGGGGGTTTTACAGAGACATTAGGCGAATGTTTGGCCAATTTAAAGTAAGTAAAGGGAATGACAGTTAACTTCAAATGTCCACACAACTATTTCTATTTTGCATAGTGGTCAACTGACATGGATTTTTTGACGGCTGATGCTGATATCTTACAGTGTGATCATACAGACTGATGGCTGAGATAAGGCTTATATATATCACACTATTTAATTTAAATATAGTAAATAACACATGCTGCAACAAAATCACGGCTGCAAGTTCTGCATCACAAAATCTAGTCTAGCATCACAATTGTTTCTCAAATGATTTTGGATCGATTAAACAAAAAAAAGAAACTATCAAGCATATTAGGGATGCACCGATACCACTTTTTCCAGTACTCGCCAGATACCGATACTTTTATTTTTGATACTTGCCGATACGGAATACCGATACCGAAATTTTTATTGCATTTGTAAATTTTTTAAATATTGGGTACAGAAGCTCATCGTTCTGAAAAGCGAGGTGTGCTCTGGTTGGCTAGCTATCCAGTGCGTTGTGATTGGCCGAATACCTCAAGCGTGTGCCGGAAATGTAATGCCCCTTACCATATTGTGATGCCTTGTCACGGCCGGAGCGACGAGACAAAAACATTAAAACCCATTACAAACGAGGCATTTGTTGCATCCAGTGGGGACATAATTACGGATTATAATGACTTATACTGTCTTTTTACGCGTTGCATTGCATCGCGCCGCGTAAACATAAAACCATGTCTGCATTTGTGATCAGAGAAATGACAAACAAAAAGTGCTACTCCACACTGCCCAAAAACTAGGGATGCACCGATACCACTTTTTCCAGTACTCGCCAGATACCGATACTTTTATTTTTGATACTTGCCGATACGGAATACCGATACCGAAATTTTTATTGCATTTGTAAATTTTTTAAATATTGGGTACAGAAACTAAAAGAGTATATATAATGTTAGTTGGTTAACTTTATTTATCAAATAGATAGTCAAACAAACATTTATTCAGACACCTTCAACATTTCTCACATTATCACAGTTTATTCGCTATAGTTTAGAAAATGCTAATAAAATATGACAAGAACTCAGAGTTAAACTGTGTCAGGACAAATTCATCTTGATAATGTTAGATAATTTTGATAGAAAGGTATGTAATGGATTACAATCAACCAAAAATTATTCAGACAGCTGATAGTATGACAGTATTTACACAACTAGCAATACTTAGTCGGGCAACCCTTAGCCTTAATGACAGCCTGTAGTCTCCTGGGCATGCTGTCATCCAGCTTCATGCAAACCTCAACTTCAGTTTTTTTCCCA